TGCTCTTCCTGAGACCATCATCTGTGAACTATCCTTAAATATCACAATTCGATTCTTACTATGTTACAGAGCACCTGATTATGACATCGAACATGTAAACAAGCTAAATACATTACTAACATGGGCTGCATCCTGCCCATACCCTTTTATCTTTCTTGGTGATTTCAATCTACCTCATATTGACTGGACCCTAAATGATTGTACAACTGAAATCATACACACAACCTTCTACAATGCTATTACAAATCTGGGACTGGAACAACTAGTAACCAACAACACTAGACTAAACAACTGCCTTGATCTCATCTTCTGCAATAGTTTGAATTTAATTTACGGAATACAAACTAAAGAACCCTTTTCCAGCAGTGACCACAATATGATTGACTTTTGTCTCAACATACGTCCACACAAAAATCACCACAATGATGTAATCCCCAATTGTAACTTCAAAAAAGGCAACTATGATCTTATACACAACAATCTCTCATCCCTTGATTGGCAATCTCTATTCAATGGATGCAATACTGTTGAAGACCATTACAACATATTTTTACTTGAAGTCAAAAGAGTCATCAAACTATATGTACCAACAACAACTCCCAAAACAAAACAAAAAAGCAGATTACCCATATCAATAAGGAAACTTCAATCCAAAAAGAGATCACTCTGGCGGAAAAACAAATCTGGTCACGTTGCCAATTTCAAAAACCGATACAAAAATTTATGCCACCAGATAAAGACCGAATGCACCAATTATCACATTAAACAAGAGGAAAACCTTCTAAGCACCAATTCCACCCGTGCTTTTTACAATTTTGTAAACAACAAACTAAAAGACTCAAGGTCCATCCCTCCCTTGATAGGACCTGATGGTAAAGACTACAACGACGACACCATTAAAGCCAACATCTTTAACACATTCTTCGGCTCAGTATTTGTAAACAGCAATGGATCATGCCCAGTATTTCCTAGCCGTACCACAGATAACAACAATGATCTAATACATATCGACTTCACAGAAGACAATGTTGAAAAAGCACTATGCAATCTAAAACCATCTCTATCTATTGGACCGGATGGAATATGTGCCTACTTCTTAAGAAAGCTATCCACTGTCATAGCCAAACCTCTAAGCATAATCTTTGAAAAATCTTTCAGAACCAGCTCCTTGCCTAACCTATGGTCACAAGCCACAGTCATCCCCATCTTCAAAAAGGGAGAGCCAAGCCTAGTTGAAAATTACAGGCCAATCTCCTTATGCTGCGTCACCTGTAAAGTCATGGAATCAATTATTAACCAATCCATCATCCTCCACTTAGAGACAAATAACCTACTCTCCAATAAACAATTTGGTTTCAGAAAAAAACTATCCTGTAATCTGCAACTCTTACACTGCAAAAACATATGGACGACACAACTCGACCAGGGCAAAGCAATAGACGCAATCTACATAGACTTCTGTAAAGCCTTTGATTCAGTGGTACACGACAAACTACTCCTAAAAATAAAATCCTATGGTATCTCTGGACAACTGAATAACTGGATAGAAGCATTCCTGTCAAACAGACAACAAATGGTCAAAATCAGGAGCGTCCTATCAAATCCAGTACCTGTCAATAGTGGTGTTCCCCAAGGCAGTGTTCTAGGACCAACTCTCTTCATACTCTACATAAACGACCTCTGTGATCATATTAAGAACAATTGCGTTCTCTTCGCTGATGATGTAAAGCTGTTCAATACCACAGACAATACTGCTACCCTACAAAAAGATCTTGACTATGTATCAGAATGGTCAAACAAATGGCAACTTCAAATCTCAACAAATAAATGCTCTGTCTTACATATTGGCAAAAAAAATCAGAAAATAAAATACAAGCTGAATAGTCAAGAACTTGTTGATGACCCATGCTCTGTAAAGGACCTTGGAATACTCACCTCTAATGATCTAAGTGCTAGAGCCCACTGCAACTACATAGCCAAAAAGGCATTAAGAGTTGTTAACCTAATCCTACGTAGCTTTTTCTCTGGTAATATCACACTACTAACCAGAGCATACAAAACATTTGCTAGACCAATACTCGAATACAGTTCATCAGTCTGGAACCCACATTACGTATCTGATATTAGCACAATTGAGAAAGTCCAGAAATATTTCACAAGAAGAGTTCTCCACTCCTCTACTCGTTGTAGAATACCTTATGCCACCAGACTTGAAATTCTAGAACTAGAAAACCTTGAATTACGCCGTCTTCGGTCTGACTTAAGCATGGTATATAAAATCATACATTGCAATGTCCTACCTGTCAATGAATACTTCAGCTTCAACCATAACAACACAAGAGCACACAATAGATACAAACTCAAAGTAAACCGCACCAAACTTGATTGCAGGAAATACGACTTCAGCAATAGAGTGGTCAATGTCTGGAATACTCTACCCGACTCTGTAGTTTCTTCCCCAAACCCCAAAAACTTTAACCTTAGACTGTCTACTATTGACCTCACCCCTTTCCTAAGAGGCCTGTAGGGGGCGTGCATAAGCGCACCAACGTGCCTACCGTCCCTGTCCTATTGTTTCTCTTATTCTTTTATTTTTCTTATATGTACCCATTTCATGTATTCACAACTATGTATACATTTATACTTATTATCTTGTAAACAATTGGCAAATCAAATAAATAAATAAATAAATAAATAAATAAATAAATAAATAAATAAATCCTGTCTTCCACCGTTCCCTTTTGGTTCCTGACGCCCCTTCATGTGATCTCCATCCTCCCGCTGTAGATGTTCCACCACCTGTACCCGACGATGATACCGCTGCTGACGGCACAGTGGTCAGCATTTGGGATTCCCGCTGGCTGAAAGGATGGTTTCAGTATTTCATTGAGAGGGTGGGGGATGGACCGGAGGCCCTTTCCTGGGTGGATGCTTCCACGTTCCACGCCCCGGACCTTATACGGAGCTTCCATGAGCAGTTTCCCTTGAAACCACGTCCTGATCGTCAGACTCGGGGGAAGGGCCCTGCGGTGAAGGATAGTGTTGTGGCTCCGAGTCCTGAGTCTGCATTCTTAGAGGAAGAGGACTCGGAAGATGAGGAGGTGGAATTGGGAATGCCTTCCTCCCCAGGACCTTCCTCTTCGGCAATGCCTTCCTCCCTGATTATGCCTCAGGTTTCGGCAGATAACCAAGAGGGACAGCCTGAGGCTAATCTGGAGGAGGAGGGCATATCGGAGCAGCCTTTGACAGAGAATCAAGCAGACGAATGTTGGCTTGATGCTAGGCAGCGTCGCAGGAAAAAGTGTGAGCTGCAACGCAGGAGACGTGGACAAATCAGAGACTGAGCTGAGTTAGTGACACACCCCACAGGGAATAAAAGTGGGTGTGTTTGCTGTGGGAACTCCATATGGGACAAAGTGTGAATTTTCTGTCGGGTTTCGGTGTATCCTGTTTCTTGAAAGCTTTCGTGATTAATGTTTCTGTTATCTTGTCGGACTTGGCAGGCAGCGTGTGTGATACTGCCAAGAATATTGCCAGCTCAAAGGAATTAACTCTGTAAATACTGAATCTTCTTGCCTGCTTGTATTTGGTTAGAGTTTGGACTTCTCATCTTCTTTGTAAAGGTGAGACATAGCATATATATATATGTTATGTGTATATATATATACATATATACATGTGTATATATATATATACACACATATACACACACACACACACACACACACACACACATTAATCCAATAAAACAATATATACACATATACACACACATACATACCACAGTAACATCTCTGTGATCACACACACACGCACACACACACACATGTAACTATGGTTACTGCTTTTATTAATATTCTTCCAGAACTCCCTTCACCAAAACCCCAGAACTGTCCCAATTAAGTCCAGCCACAAGCAGACCAATGCTAGTTCACAGAGCAATGGCCAATGACACTTGAAAGTAAAGGAGTAAAGGAGTCAACAACATACAGTTGTATCCCTTTCAGAAGTTGTATCCCATTCAGAACGAGGTCGGTGTATGAGCGGTGAGGTGAAATTTTCTCTACCTCTCTCTTGCTGAACACATCGGCATAGTAGAAAAAGTAGAAGAGAGGTGCATTGTGCTATGATAGACTATTTAGCTACATGATTCATCCAATGTTGGACTAGAAATACTTTTTCTGATCTAAAAAAGGAATTTTATTATGTTCTTATTTAACCTTCATGAGAAAAAAAGAAATAAAATGAATTTTCTGAATCTCCCAAAATCCAACCTTTGTAAATTAAGATTCCAGATCAAAAGGTTTCAAATGAAGCTTTTGTTAAGTATAATTTTATGTGATACTCTGAGCAATGTCTTCTGAGGATTAGTCAAAATATTTTTTCTTGTTCTTAAGTATATGATTGTCAATTTCATTGTCAGTATGTGACTTCCATAATATATTTTCTGATTAATCATTCAAATTTTTTCATCATTATGTAGAACAGGTAGTCCTCAACTTACGACCACAATGGAGTCTGAAATTTATGTTGCTAAATGAGAAATTTGTTAAGTGAGTTTTGCCTCATTTTATGACCATTCTTGCCACATTTGTTAAGTGAATCAGTTAGTAACATGGTTGTTAAGTGAATCTTGTTTCCCCATTGACTTTGCTTGTCAGAAGGTTGCAAAAGTGGATCACATGACTTCAGGACACTGCAACCGTCATAAATGTGAGTTGGTTGCCAAACATCTGAATTTTGATCACATGACCATGGGAATCACACAATGATCCTAAGTCACTTTTTTCAGTGTCATTGTAACTTTGAACCATCACTAAATGAACTGTTGTAAGTTGAGGACTGTAGTCTAGCAAGTTAGTAGTAAAAATTCTATAGATTCAATTGAAGACTATAATTTCAGATTATGTGGTAATTGTATTCTGTTTGGTTAGTATTTCATTTATTTAGCAGGAAAAACGTAGTTTAATTCTTTTTCTTTTTTTTCTTTCCATTCCTAGGATGGTACAGTGTTTGATGGCAGACCTATAGAGTCATTATCTTTGATAGATGCAGTAATGCCTGATGTAGTGCAAACTCGGCAGCAGGCTTTCAGGGAGAAATTAGCACAGCAGCAAGCTAGTGCAGCAGCAGTTGTAGCTACAACAGCAGCAACAGCAACAGCAGTCACAACTACTACAACAGTCACAACAACAGCTGTTGCTGTCCCACAGCAAAATACACCAAAGACCGGAGAAGCCACTGTGAATGGAGAGGAGAATGGGGCGCATGCAATAAGTAAGTTAAACTATGTTTTCTAATGGATATGTTTACATCAAATGCAAATTTATGCGGCAAAGCTAGATATAGGTATAGATATCTTTGAACTATAGACATTCTAAGATTTTTGTACTCAAAAACCAAAATCCACAGACACATTGCCCTCATTTTAGCCTTACATATTAGTAGATGTCTTTTCGATATTGTCTTTTTGGTTCAGATAACTTAACTACAAGGTGATTACCAAATAAACATTTTGAAATTCTAAATTGTATTGATATGTTTAAACACCATAAATTCTCATTAATCCTAATGTGCTGGTAATAGAAGTGTGGGCTTAAACTGTCAATCAATAATGGACTTGTCCTCTTAACATTTCCAATATTTATGCTTAATCCAATTTTCCTATTAGTTTTGTTACTGTTGTTTTATGTTCGTTGTTTCTGTTTTCACTATGCCTAAAATTAGTTTACATAGATTTACATTTGTTTTGCAGATAATCACTCAAAACCAATGGAAATCGATGGGGATGTTGAAATTCCTTCTAATAAAGCAACAGTTCTTAGGGGTCATGAATCAGAAGTGTTCATCTGTGCCTGGAATCCTGTCAGTGATCTACTAGCATCAGGGTAAATTATGGATTAAAACAAATGTAAACTTTGTGAGATTTTTCATTCTTGCCAACAGTATCAATTCTAGCAATAACGGCAAATAGAATTGACAGATAATCTTCATTCTTAGAAGAAAGGCATGTGCACATATGATAAGTGGATTTTCTACTAATATATAATAATATTATTTCAAAACAATTTTGAGCCAACAGAACCCCAAGCTTTTCTTTGTGAGTAATATATGTATTCATTCTTTTTAGATCTGGTGATTCCACTGCCAGAATATGGAATCTTAATGAAACCAACAATGGTAGTTCCACACAACTAGTTTTGAGGCACTGTATAAGAGAAGGAGGGCATGATGTTCCCAGCAATAAGGATGTGACATCACTAGACTGGAATGTAAGTTGACAGATAAAGCTCTTCTAAGTTATCTATAGAACACAGCTTGTGTATAAAATATAATTGTGTGTGTGCGCGCACGCACGCGCAAGTTGGTAAGTGAATGAATGAATGAATGAATGAACAAATTAATTAATTAAATGGATTAATTAATTAATTAATCAGAACCAGCTTGCTGTAGTGATTAGGGCACCAGACTAGAAACCAGAAGACCATCAGTTCTAGTATGAAAGCTGGCAGAGTGAGTTTGGGTCAGTATCTCTCAACCCACAACATCATGCTCAGGTGGCAAACCAATCGGTCAATTCATGTTGCTAGCAAAAGATCAACACTCAGTTGATTCAAAAACAAAAAGTGGAATCTGCACTTAGGAAGTTATAGATACAGTATAGATCTGTGGTGGCAAACCTATAGAATGCGTCCATGCTCCCGTTTCAGCACTTGGTGCCAAAAAGGTTCGTCAACACTGGTATCAATATAAATATTTCTTCCAATTTTTCCTTGCAGGTATAATAGTAATTTAGGTGTAAGCAATTTGATGCCTTCTAGATGTTTTGGATAATGGTTCAGCAGCTCCCATTAATATTATCAGTTATTTTAAACATATGCTAATAGTCTCCTTACACCCAGAATTGGACTAGTGTGCTTATGGAACACATTGAAAATGTCACAATTTTTTCTGCAGTAAAAGTTTATTTTGAGAATATTGTAGATGGGAACCATTTATTTATATATTCAAAATAAAAAAAATCATATGTAATATTTAAATAAAATAATATATTTCTAAAGATCCATAGAGAATCTATCCTTTAGTTTTGTATTTTTCAAAGTTACAAAGATTAGAATTTATAATTTAAAAAATGAATCAGAAAATACATTTTAAAAAAGATTCTTTCATTTTGATCAGTGAGTAACAAATGGAAAAATAAATGTATCAAACTACAATAAAACATCCATATGAATGTTATTAAAGTGAATAAAATATTACCTAAGATTACCTAAGGGATGCGGTGGCTCAGTGGCTAAGACACTGAGCTTGTCGATTAGAAAGTCAGCAGTTTGAATCCCTAGCACCATGTAATGGAGTGGGCTCCCGTTACTTGTCCCAGCTTCTGCCAACTTAGCACATAAAAAATGCAAGTAGAAAAATAGGAACCACTTTGGCGGGAAGGAAGCAGCACTCCGTGCACCTTTGGCATTTAGTCATGCCAACCACATCCCTACAGAGACATCTTCGGACAGTGCTGAGTCTTCGGCTTAGAAACGGAGATGAGCACCGCCCTTAGAGCCAGAAAGTACTAGCATGCATGTGCAGGGGAACTTTTACCTTTACCTTAAGATTATGTACATTACATCCATAAAATTTATGAAACTTCTATTAATCTATAAAAAGATTATAATTCCTATTAATCTATAAAAAGAAAAAGCATAGATTCAGTTATTCTCATGTACAGTGATACCTTGGTACTCAACTGCTTTGAAACTCATCAAATTTGGTACTCAATGCATTTTGATGTGAATCTTTTGTCCCGGTACTCATCATTTGTTTGGTACTCAACTCACAAGCTAGAACTTATTGGTGTCGGCTGCCTTGTAACTCACAACATTATTCCTTATGGGAAAAAATCGTTTGGTACTCATTGTTTTGGGTACTTATTGCGCCTCCCAGAACCAATTACGGTATTAAAGTTTACATTATACAAAAAAAACAAAACCTAAATGCTAAACTTATACTAAAAAAATAAGCATATTTAATAAGTATGAAATATCAGGGCATAGTTTTTATGCTCTTGCAAAAAAATTAAACAGTTATCCTCTTTTAGTATTTACAGGCAGTATAACAATATTCAGAGATTTTTGAAGGCAATAGTATATAGCAAACTTTTTTTATTTGTAGAAATGTTTTTTTCCAGATTATTGGCTTTTACTTAGTACATTATCATACTGCCTATAGTTGTATGCATTTTTATCCAGCAACTTTTGTTGAGGAAAGGGAAATCATGAAACTTTCATTAGGAATATGTTACGGGGAGAAAGAGAGAGGGAAAACCTGATTATGTTGAGATAAAATTTTAACAGTAAATCCTTTCAGATCAGTTAAATTGCCACATTAAAATAATTATATATTAGCTAAATTATTGTGGTAATACTAGCAACAGCATAGCATTTAGACTTCTATGCCACTCCATAGTGCTTTTCAGCACTCTCTGGGTAGTTTGCAATGTCAGCATACTGCCCACAACACTGTGGATTCTCATTTTACTGACCTCGGAAGGATGGAAGGCTGAATCAACCTTGAGTCCTATCAGGATTATGGGCAGAGTTTGCCTCCAATAGCGCAATACTGCATTCTAACCACTGTGCCACCAGGGCTCTTTATCCTATTCTGAGAACAATATACTGCATTAACGGGCTTGTTTCTAGTTGTCAAACTAGCCATTAATTTTTGATATAAAGGGATATTGATATTTACCGGTACTCTTTGTCATGAAAGTATCTCCTTTTTTATACCAGAAAATCAGAATTGAATTATTGAATCATAACTTATTTGGGCTTCATATACAAAAAATCCTCTTCTTTTTGCATATTTTACAGAGTGATGGAACACTTTTAGCTACTGGGTCATATGATGGCTTCGCAAGGATATGGACAGAAGTTGGTAAGAAATAATTTTTCCAGATCATTAGATTTTTTTTTAATGATCCTAAATTTGTTTCAATGTTCAAGTTATTTAAAACACTGATTTTATTTTTGAATTCATCACAGGAAATCTTGCAAGCACCTTAGGGCAACATAAAGGGCCCATCTTTGCTCTGAAGTGGAACAAAAAGGGCAATTACATTTTAAGTGCAGGCGTTGATAAAGTAAGTGTTGAATTCTATAATTTGCAAGTATCAATTATCTAATTATCTTTTTAATCTTCTGTTTCAATTCTTGAAACAGCTGCTATTTTTGTACTTGCCAGATGGTGGTGCCACCCTAATCTTTATTTCTGTATATGCACAATACTATTATGATCAACTCTTGTGCAGTTTATAGATGGCCATATTTGTTATCTGTTGAAGACTCCACATTATCTGTTTCATGTGGATTATTTTGACTTTACAACTGATAGTGCTGTTTAACACCTAACTCATTTCTTCCACTTGCTTTTTCTTTTCTACCTAGACAACAATAATTTGGGATGCTCATACAGGTGAAGCTAAACAACAGTTTCCTTTCCATTCAGGTAATTAACTGTTATTTATGCTTGCTATATTTAACAAGCCGGAAAACTCAAGTTTACTCTGTCATAATTCATTACGTGTCACAAGTGACTATTAAACAGATTTAGGCTATTGGATCCTAGTTTGCTTGATTGCGTTTGTCTGATAAGAACAGAAGTCAAATAATTTTTGTTAGACAACTTTGAGAATAAAATTTTGAATATTGCCATACCATAAAGTATTGATAGACCAAATCACTGAGAAATATTCTTTATTCTCAATTATCTTTTATATAGGGGATAGTATCTTTGTAGTGATTTAGTCTGATCACATAATTATCATTGTACCAATGACATAAATTTATATAAATGATATCAAACAATATCATCATGTAAATTGCATAAATTATTCCATTTTCATCTTGTTATTCAAACAATATAAATTGCATTGGATATTTGGTGCCACAGACATTTTAAATGCTTTATGTCTGTTTTATGTCAAGATTTCATCTTGTATTATTTCAGTATAGAGTCTGGGCCACATGTTTAGTTCAAACTGATAGTGTTCTAAAAGTCTATCCTCTGGTTTCCCAAAAGCATTATTCTGGCATGCATGCAAAAATTACATTATTATCTAATTTATTCTGATAGTATTTTACGAGTTTCAGAAAGTATGCTGTGGGAATGTTTTTAGATTTGTTTGGTGTTTTTTCTCCTATAGGTAGTCCTTAACTATGACATAAATTGGGTCATCCACATAACTGACCCAATTTTACATTTTTTTGCAATGGTTGTTAGTGAAAATCACAGCCATTAAGTGAAAACTGCAGTTGTTCAATGAACTAATGGTTCACTAGCAAGTGGTTTTGCTGAAAACCAGAAGTAAATGCTGATTTTCAGCAAAACTGTCATAAAACACTTTAATATATGTTATTCGTATGATAATGTCATTAGAGTGGAAACTAGACCCACTGCATGCTGTGGCATCAAAGTCTGGTACGTAATGTTTTTATTCTATTGTAAATAGCAGTCATATTATCAGAATAATGTTGGTCATACTATCAGAATAATAATATAGTGTTAGGATGCTACATGTAATTTAATTAAATTAACAGTTGCAAAGGTAATTTGCTTCCTGGCCAAATTTCCTAATGGTCCCTTTCTGTCCTCCTTTCACAGCCCCAGCCCTGGATGTAGATTGGCAGAACAATACTACTTTTGCATCATGCAGCACTGATATGTGCATACATGTATGCAGACTTGGCTGCGATCGTCCAGTCAAAACCTTTCAAGGCCACACGGTAACATTAAGCAATAATCTTAACACATTGCAATTAAAACAGACTTTATCAATATTTCAGGAATACTATATTCTTAAATCAATAGCTTTCTAATCCATTTAGCTGACAGGCATATATTGAATTTTGAGAATATATATTTATGTCTTCATACAAAATAGAAACATGTTACTCTGGGATGGGAGTTTCCTCATTCAAAAATTAGCTGGCAAACAGGAAGCTAAGAAGGAAAGTTCCATTATTACCACAGATTGTTTTGCCTTCTTTCTAAAATGAGATAATACATTAGGGATTTTAGTCTTAAATTTAATCTTGTATATTCTTGGCAGTAAATTCATTGATGCTAATAAGAATGGAGTGAAATCAATTTTTATTTGTTATAGCTTTGCTTTAGAAAAATAGAAATTCTATTTTTATTAGAACATTAAATAGAATTCATAGTAGTGAATTGGTATGCAACACTTTCCCCAGAAATTATTTAAAACCCATAGGTATTTTTTTAACTTGTGAAGAGATCTGTAAAAAAGATAGCTAACTGTAATATTGGGAGAATGCAAGATAATTTATCAATTAAATATCAAATCCAGAAAATATATAATTTTAAATTGTAATTTATTTATAATATAAATTAAACTTATAATTTTGAATTTTTTAAAAAATGTTTAGGCTTATTATTATTGTAATTAATATAAAGTCTCTCTGCATTACACTACACACAACAGCAGATATAACAGCTTTTGCATTCTTACATGAGGCAATTTCTAATTCCAATTTCTAATTTTCAATACATCCCTATTTATTTATAAAACAGACAAAATGCCCATGAAATGATGTGGTAGTAATAATATTGCCTTAAGACGTTAATTCATTGACATTTAACCTCTATAAGCATCTCGCACAAAATCGCAAACCCTGCAGTAATTGTAATAAAAAGGGAACTTGCTTCCATCTGCATTGGGAATGCGTAAAATCTTGACATTTTAAAGGGATGTCTTGGACAAAATGAAAACAATAACCAAGCAACAGATTGAATTATCTCCAAATTTAGGCTTATGTTTCACAGAAGGAATAAAAAGTTGTAAAACAAGAAATCCATTGTTTATCTGCTTATAACAGCAAAATTAATCATTATCTTCCAATGGTAATATCTTAATAAACCTTTGCTTGCAAAATGGTTCAATAACATCCAGTCTATTTCCCTGTTTGAGAAACTTCTGAAAAATTTACGTTTTTTAAAATGTGCCAAAAAATTCAGCTTAAGTAGTTTGCTTGCTTGTAAAAAGTACAACACTGTTTATAGAGTATATACACTAATTCTAAAATAAATCCTTTATTTCAGAATGAGGTCAATGCAATTAAATGGGATCCTTCTGGTATGCTTCTAGCATCCTGCTCAGATGATATGACGTTAAAGGTATGATCTCAGGTCCAAGCATAATATTTCCAAGAACTTGAATTGAAGTTTATAAAACACTATCTGTAAAGTTTTCAAAGGATTTGCAATGTTTTTGAAACCATCTAAAAACAGAAATTACTAGTCTTTTTTCATAGTGACCTGCATTGTAGATGGGCAAAATATTTCTAAATGCAGATTTTATTTATCTCCATTCAATTGATTCTTTATATAGATTTGGAATATGAAGCAAGACACTTGTGTACATGACCTTCAAGCACATAACAAAGAGATTTATACTATCAAATGGAGTCCAACAGGACCAGGTACCAGCAACCCAAACTGCAACATTATGTTGGCAAGGTAAAAGCAAAACGATGCAATGTCTTCTATTCTTACTGTATACAAAAGCACTTGAAACACAACTTCTCTTCCCAATGTCAGATTTCCAAGTAATAGATCCATAGCAAACAAAAATCCGAGGCAGGTAAATTCCTCAAAGAAAAGCTTTGTTGGCACAGATCTGGTGAAAACCGACTCTGAAGGTTCTTGTGGTTTTCACCTAATTAAAAGTTTGTCACTTTCTCAAAACAAATTAGTCACATAGTCCAATCAAGGTGCTGTCTGGTTGCCTGGTGACATCACCCCGCCTTCCTCTGACTAGGTGTGAGAATGTCCGTGGTTCCCAAGAGAAAGTATTTTGTTTTGGCTACAAAATCCCAGCTATCTCAAATCCCCTCTCCCTATCCCTCAGCTTTCAAGATGGCTTCAGCCAGGTCCAGTCCCTTAGCATCCTGTACTCTCAGTTATATTTAACTATTTACATACAAATACAAAGTTATTGGTATTCTTCATAGAATATTAGAAGCATAAGCATGTCTTGAAAAATGTTCCTTGCATTGTCAGCACTGGCAGAGGAGGAACAGAGAACTACATTTTTGTGCTGAGCACCGAATAAGGGCTTTCTTCCTCTAACAGCTTGTGTAATTCCTATGATGCAGTTCCTACTTCATCCTTTTCCTCCAGGCCTCTTTATTTATCTCTGTTAAGTTTCATGGCCCATCTACATACTATTTATGACTACTGAGCTAATATAGGGCTTTGAGTCTAATATAGTTGTTCAAGGAACTTTGTCCATTGGGAAACCTCAGTATCAGCAATGGAATGGGGAGATAAGCCCAAGCACATATTTGCATAGGAAGGCAAAATACATTGCATAAGATCGATAGATTGTTTTAACTTTGATAGTAATGTTTTAATCACCTACCTGAGCAATATTCTCAATTTTAAAAAAGGTTTTATCTCTTTACTTCAGTGCTTCATTTGATTCTACTGTTCGGTTGTGGGATGTAGAAAAAGGAATCTGCACTCACACGTTAACAAAACATCAAGAACCTGTCTACAGTGTAGCTTTTAGTCCTGATGGAAAATATTTAGCAAGTGGATCCTTTGACAAATGTGTTCATATATGGAATACCCAGGTATGGTAATTTTATATCATGGCACTAAGATATAAATTTCAATATACTCCTTAATGTGTTTGTAACTTGTTTTTTGCTACATAATATAAATATTTTTGATACATACATTTAAATAAATGTGGCAGAGGCCTATGAATCTAATAGACTTAACAAAAGGATATTCCTGCCACTAGCAGTTTTTGTGTCTAGGAACAGATAGTACATGTAGGCATATCTTACATATGTTGTATAGTAGAATGTTCGTATTCTAAAATGATTTTCAGCAATAAAGCTATATAAAATTTGATTAAATCATACTTCTTAAAAACTTAATAAGTCCTTTCCCTCAGCTTTATGTTTTCATTAGTTGAAAGACATTATCAACAGTGTTCTTTCAGTAGCTTAATTAGAAGTAGATAACCTAATACTTTCCAAGTACTTTAAACTCCGATTGCCATTAGATTCAGAATGTATAATATGTACCATATGATGTAAAATAACAACAGAATGTCCTGCTTATAGTCCAGAGACATGTAGCAAGTCTGATTGTTTGAAAATAAATTTAAAGCATGTTTAATGGAGACACTTAAATGTTCATTGTTAGTGTGTATGTTTTTCACCATGATAGACTTCAGATTTTGACTTTAGTCCAAAAACTAACCTAATGTAATATTGTTGACTTTTTTTTTTATCTGTCAGAAGGACTGTTCTTATGTTGATTCTCAGTCAAATTCTCAAAAGCAACTTTGAGGCTAATGAGATTAGCTGTATTCCTTCCTAGAAATAGCAGTCTGCACTCAATATGTGAACTTAATTAAGAAATTAGTCCCGAAATATTGCTCAAAATACCAATGTATTCTGTTCAGCAGTGACTCTCCCAATGTTGCTAAATTTTTGGCAATCCTCACATTTTTATACTGGCTGAAACTTATCAGTTGTAGTTTGGATCTCTTGTTATAGGGTCACATTCTTATAAATTAGAGACAAAATTACATTTTAAGCGTAGTTTCACTCTTAGTTATTTTTTAATTCAGTTTTCAGTTTATGTAGACTCCTTACTTGTTACTCACCCAATATGTACCCTTAGTTAAAGGCCAAGTATTTTGTATAGTAAGTTAATAGTTAACAAATATCTATGTTATCAAGATAATGATGAAAACCGTCTTGAATACATTTGGGTCAATATAAAAGGGGGGGATGATATTGCCATAGGTGTATACTATAGGCCACTCAACCAAATAGAAGAAATAAATTATTTTTATAGTCAATTAACTAAACTATGTAGGAAGTACATCACGATAGTAATGGGGAATTTAAACTACACCGATATCAACTGGGAAACAAACTTTGCACCAAGTGGAAGATAAAACAGTTTCCTGACAAATGTAGCAGACAATTTTGTCTCCAAAAAATAAAGAAGGGAACCAGGGGATCAGCCATATTGGATTTAATTCTCACTAACAGAGATGAAGCTACAGGAACGTTGGGTGGGAATGATCATGCAATATTGGAATTCAACATTATGAAAGTATAAACAATAGAACAAAGTCAAACTAGAGTCTTGGACTTTAAAACAGCTAATTTCAATACACTTAGAACTTGAGAAGGATTCCATGGATGAGAATCCTCAAGGGGAAAACAGTACAAGAAGCTTGGAGAATTTTGAAAAGTGAGATTATAAAAACCCAGTCTAGCACAATTCTAATGAAGAAAAGTAACAGCTCTCAAAAGAAGCTAGCATGGCTGCATAAAGAACTCTCCGATAAATTGAACGACAAAAAGGACTTCCATAAAAAGTGGAAAGAGGGGCACTTAACTAAGGCAGAATATCAGCAGATAACCCAAGCCTCCAAAGATGAAAGCAGCAGAGCTAAGGCTAAGGCTCAAAACAAACTAAGGCTTGCAACAAAAGTCAAAAAATAAAAAAAAAGTTTCTTTCAGCATGTAAAAAATGAAAAAAAAAAATCAAGGAAACAATTGCTTCCTTAATGGGAGAAAACAGTAAGAAGGTGACAAGCAACAGAGAGAAAGCAGAACTGTTTAAATGGTTTTTTGCATCTGTCTTTACACAAAAGGAGAAAAACAGTCCATTCTTCTTCAAAAGATTAATAACATATAGTTATCCATTTGGAACATTTGGTCAAGTTATTGCTCCAAAAGCTATAGGCAAAACTAATGCAAACATTATTTACAGAAATGTATGTGTTACAATATCAGTTTGAAATTACAAACAAAATGGTATACATTTTCCCCTGAATGAAGGTGTTGTATTTTTTTTCATAGAGTGGGACTCTAGTACATAGCTACAGAGGTACCGGTGGAATATTTGAAGTCTGCTGGAATGCTAGAGGAGACAAAGTCGGAGCCAGTGCTTCAGATGGATCGGTATGGTTTCTTCAATTTTGGGGTTGTTGTTTTTAGTTACCCATAAATGAGTGCATTTCAACACTGCAACTATTTCTTCTTGTGATGCATTAGTGATCTCTCTGGTAAAAGGCATAATTCAAACAAATTTATTCAAGATATATTGGAGTAAAATCCAGAGCGCAATAAAATCTAGTTCTGAAGCTGAAGAGACAAGAAACTACAAATCTCAGTCTAAATAGAATTGTTAAATGTGGAACAGGTGCCCCCAACATTAAAAGATGGCCAAAAGTTCTTTGCCTTGAAAAGACGGGGGAAAGGCCTGAGGTTTAAATCCTGGACGTAGGGATTCTGGCTGTGTAGGCCTTTTGGAAAATTTGCATTAAACTTTGCTGTCAGGAGTGGCTGGCTGGGTAGGGAGGGGAAAAATGGTTCTTTTGCCCAGATACTTTTTCTTTTCTGGGAAGTGTGCAGCTGGAAGTATTTGCCAACAGAAAGTGAGAGTGAGGAAGGAGATAGAAAAGGAATGGAGGAGGAGCATACTTTCTTATTCCTTTCCTCTTGGGTTCCCTCCTGTTCTGCCATTCATTTCCTGCTGACTAGGCTAGAACACCCATGCGGGGCTTTGCACAATGCAACATCAATGCCTGACTTTTGGAAAAAGCAACCCATCCCAAACTGTTTCTTTGCTGGAAGATAAGACTCCTTTGGAAACTTATTCCAGCAAATTCCCATCATTGCTAAGCAGTCAAATGTGTAGAGGTTTAGTATGCTTGGATTTTAAACATTATTTACAAACATTATTTAACAGGAAGGATTTTCAGTGCCAGAGTAGGGAGGCAGCACTAAAGTAAGGAGTGGGGTGCCTCATGGCTCTGGGCAAGGCCTGGAAAGCCCAATGTACCCCACACATGAACTTCTCACTTCTGGTGCTGGAAATTCTCACTGCTAAAATCTAAGTGGAAAGCACTTTCTAGGGAAGCTGGCAGGGAAGATTGCAAATGGCAAGCACATGACTGTAAAACATTTGGCAATCTGTTGTAAGCAGTGTTTTGGGATGAATCTAAGTGTTTTACAGACAATAAAGCTATCTAAGGCTATCTTAATTTTGAGCAGTTGTTAAGGTACCAATCATAACTTGAAAATTAGCTATCATGGCCAAGTTCAAATAAAGATATTTCTTGCTTTCATTGTATGCTTTTACACACTTGAAAAAATTGAGTGAGGATTTGATTTTAGGCAATCCTCACTCTTCAACTAGCCTTTCTTTCATCTGACTGAGTCTTTGTAATACTCAGGATTTAAAACTGAGTGAGTGTGAACACTTTATGAAAATGCAAGTGTGCTCTTGTTTCTTTTCCTAATAGAATTGTATAAAATAGAATTATCAAAAGTTATTAAGAGTTTATTTGGTGCCCAATTCCCCTTTTCTGTGTTCCAGGTGTGTGTTCTAGACCTGCGAAAGTAAATATTTTAGAAGAAACTGCAAATGGACCAGCATTGAATGTAGAGGTAGAAGCACTCTTCAAACGTACTTTTAACCTCTCTGGAATGGCAAAAACTGGGGGAAATAAACAGAAGTAGAACTAAACAAATAATGCATTTCTCCCAGGCAAAAGGAGCTTGCAATGTTTTGTCCATCAACCTTCATCAAGGTTTTAAAACAAAATCACTTGGGGAGGGGGGATTTTTCCACTATGAGCCTACAGCCTTTGGAGGCAAGCAAGAAGGTGGCCATCAACAGCTAAACCTGCTGTTTGCTGGGGTCAGATCTCTGAGGCCTCATTTTGACAGCTGCTAAAAAGAAGAGGAAAAGCTGTGCCAAAAACAATAACAATTAAAAGGAAAACAAAATCTATGAAGCGAAATGCTTTGATAAACCAAAATGGGAAAAAATTCTCCTCCATGTGGTATTGCATTGTTTTTCTTTCTAGTTTGGACACTACAATTGCTCTCCCAAAGGACATTCAAAAACCAGTTTGTATTGATGATACACTCAAATTTGTAATCCCAACACTTTGTATTTTCTAGACTACTGTTATTTGTTCAGTGATTTTTTTCTTATCAGCTGGAATGTTACAGCCTTGACAATAATAGGCATAGGTTCAAATTGAATGTCTCTTTCTCTCTCTCTCTCTCTCTCTCTCTCTCTCTCTCTCTCTCTCTCTCTATCTATCTATCTCTTTATCTCTCTCTCTCTCTCTCTCTCTCTCTCTCTCTCTCTCTCTCTCTCTCTCTCTCTCTTTCTCTCTCTCTCACCAACTTTTTGCTTTGTCCTTTCCATTTGTGCCAAGTTAATGCAGAGGGCAGATGGGCATCATTAGTGACTGCTTCTATTTTCCATTTCTTCTCTTCCAACCTACCCCCATCTTTTCTCTTTTCTTTATCCTCTGATTCTGCTACTTCTTTAATGTTTCCATTCTTCAGATCTTGAAATCTGAAGGGCACTTTCAAAAAATTGTGTATTAAGTGCTTTAGGTGCCGGAAAAGCTTTTTACAGAAGAAAGATTACTTTTTAAAGAAAGAAAGAGCCCCATGTATTTTTGGAATAAGAAATAAAGGTTGTAGTATTTTTATGTTAAAACATAATTTTAGAAACTTAAAATATCTAACAGATGTGGATTGGATTGTGTTCCATCATTTAAAAGAACAATTCAGATGAATCCCTATTTAAAGATGCAGTATCTTTTTAATCTTCATGAAAGGCAGTTTTGCCTATACTTCTTTTAAAAAGACTCTTTAAATTAATCGTGCAAGTAGTAAAATATTCCATGGCATACAGTGAGGGAAAGACGTATATGATCCCCTGCTGATTTTGTATGTTTTCCCACTGACAAAGAAATGATCAGTCTGTAATTGTAATGGTAGATGTATTTTAACAGTGAGAGACAGAATAACAACAAACACATTTCAAAAAAGTTATCAATTGATTTGCATTTTAATGAGTGAAGTAAGTATGTGATCCCCTGTTGTGGCTCCGATTCCTGAGCCTGCGTTGTTAGAGGAAGAGGAAGAGGACTCGGAAGATGAGGAGGAGGAATTGGGAATGCCTTCCTCCCCAGGACCTTCCTCTTTGGCAATGCCTTCCTCCCTGATAATACCTCAGGTTTCAGCAGACAACCAAAAGAAACAGCCTGAGATTAATCAGGAGGAGGAGGGCATATCGGAGCAGCCCCTGACAGGGAGTCAAGTGGACAAATGTTGGCTTGATCCTAGGCAGCGTCGTAGGAAGAAGTGTGAGCTGCAACGTAGGAGGTGTGGGCGAATCAGAGAGTGAGCTGAGTCATTGAGACACACCCCACAGGGGATAAAAGTGGGTGTGTTTTCTCTGGAGACCTTGTACGGGACAAAGTTTTACTTTTCTTTCAGGCTTCGGTGTGATTGTTTCTTGTGGTCTGCGTTGGAAGCTTTAGTGATTAATTCTTCTTGTTATCAGTTCGGATTTGGCAGGCAGCGTGTGTTAGAATGCCAAGGACATTATCTGTATAAAGGAATTAACTCTGTAAAGACTGAGTCTTTTTGCCTGCCTGTATTTGTTTGAGTTTGGACTCTTCATCTTTCTTGGAAAGGAGAAAGGTGAGACATAACAATCCCCTATTAATCAGCAAGATTTCTGGCTCCCAGGTGTCTTTTATATAGGTAATGAGCTGAGATTAGGAGCACTCTGTTAAAGGAAATGCTCCTAATCTCAGCTTGTTACCCTGTATAAAAGACACCTTTGCACAGAAGCAAGCAAGCAATCAGATTCCAAACTCTCCACCATGGTCAAGATGAAAGAGCTGTCCAAGGATGTCAGGGACAAAATTGTAGACCTACACAAGGCTGGAATGGATTACATCACCAAGCAGCTTGGTGAGAAGGTGACAACAGTTGGTGCGATTATTCACAAATGGAAGAAACATAAAATATTTGTCAATCTCCGTTGGTCTGGGCTCCATAAAAGATCTCACCTCGTGGAGGTTCAATGATCATGAGAATGGTGAAGAATCAGCCCAGAACTACACAGGAGGATCTTGTCAATGATCTCAAGGCAGCTGCGACCATAGTCACCGAGAAAACAATTGGTAACACACTCTGCTGTGAAGGACTGAAATCCTGCAGCACCCGCATGGTCCCCCTGCTCAAGAAAGCACATGTACAGGCACAACTGAAGTTTGCCAATGAACATCTGAATTATTCAGAGGAAAACTGGGTGAAAGTGTGGTGAGATGAGACCAAAATTGAACTCTTTGGCATCAACTCAACTCGCCATATTTGGAGAAGGAGGAATGCTGCTTATGACTCCAAGAATACTATCCCCACCGTCAAACTTGGAAGTGGAAACATTATGCTTTGGGGGTGTTTTTCTAATAAGGGAACAGGACAACTTCACCTCATCAAAGGGACGATGGATGGGGCTATGTACTGTCATATCTTGGGTGAGAACCTCCTTCCTTCAGTCAGGGCATTGAAAATGGGTCATAGATGAGAGGGCGGAGCTGACGTTGTGACGATACGGCTGCAATCTTGAGGCTCTGAGACTGCAGCCGATATCTTCGTCCCTGGTTGGTCCAAACGGACCTAAACCATCCCGTAGAGATGGTGACAGTGAAGGGCACATCCTGTGGATCCCAGGGACACCGCAAAGTCCCTGGTTGATTCAGGAGAAGCCCTTCTTGCCGGCGGCGGAGAGGCAGCCATCAAAGCTGCTGAAGTTGGGACAGCTCCGGTACGGAAGAGATTGAAAGAGAAAGTGTATCGGCTCGGTGAGATATTTTTTTTTTACCAATATTTTGAGATTTGAAAGGACACCCTAAGAATAAGAAGAAATCTGTAAGAGTTTTGGCAAAATTGAATAAGCGGCGGTTTTTAAAGGGAAATGTTGGCTTTTTATTTTATTTTTTCTGTTACTGGACTTCTATCGCGACTTAGCAATTGTTAACTGGACTGGTTTTTCTCTTATATATATTTATCTATTTTCTTCTCTTTTTTGACTTTTTTTTTTTTTTTTAGATTAGAGGCTCCCTTTAGTGTATGTGTATATGTGTGTGTGTGTGTGTGTGTGTGTGTGTGTGTGTATATATACTCTTTCTTTTTCTTTTTTAATTCCTATTGCGTTTTTCCTGGGAAAGGAGGGGGGAAGTGAGAACAAAGAAACTTTGTAACACTGCCAACTAGAGGCTTGAAAATACTCCATTTGAAGTTGAGAGAATTGTGAAAAACTCTCTCTCAAGGACATTGCAACTTGATAAGATAGAGGGAAGAGCACAGGAGAGTATTATTACAGGTGTTCTTCTGGACTTCTATCAACAATTGAATACTTGAAGTTTGGCTTTGAAGCTCGTGGAGAAGTCATAACAAGAGCCTTGGATAATTAAACAAAGTGCAGTGTTCTTTTTTTTTTTTACCCCTCCTTACCAGTTCTATTGTAAACCTTTATTTTTGTAATATTTTTATGTTTACTTTTTATTTTAAAGGGAAGACCTCAGAATTTCTCCCTTTCCTTTTTTATTGGGATTTTTGCTTCTTCCATCTATATTTTTGGGTTACCTTTATGGTTTTTCTTTATTTTTGAGAACTTTCAATTGGATTAAGGTGTGAAGAACCTGAAGAAACTTTTTACTTATTCTTTTTTTTTATTACTATTGGGTTTTTTTTTCTTCTTCCTATTTTTATTTTTTACTTTGGATTACAATTGACTATCTCATAATTGGATTAAGGTTCTGAAGAACCCGAAGAATCTTTCTTTTTTTTCTTTCTTTTTCTTTATTATTATTATTGGGCTTTTTATTTTCTACTATTTTTATCTCCCATTTTTACTTGGATTATCACTGGCTACTTTATTAATTGGACTAAGGATTAAAAGAATTTGAAGATCTTGAATTGCTCAAAATGAGTAAGAAACCCACACCTCCTGGCATCTCAATTTCTGCTTCTGCCTCCCCACCACTCGGAGGACAATGCTTAATCCAGACAACGTTAAAGCAAGAACAAGTGACTTTACAGATGATTATGCAAGGAATCCAAGATCTTAAAACAAAATCAGATACTATTGAAAAGAGAATAGAGAATATTAAACAGAGAACATTGAACAAAGAACAGAGAACATTGAACAAAGGACAGAGAAGACCGATGAAAAAATTGAAAACATTCAACAAATGATGGTGAAGTATGATGAGAGATTCCAAAAAATTGAAGAAGAAGATAAACAAAGAGATGAGAAGATTGGAAACATTGACAGTAGATTAACAGTGGTTGAACAAGACAAAAGCGGGATGCTGAAGTGGGAGATGGACAGGTCAGAATTTTACCTCAGATTTCAAAATATAGAGGAAGAAAAAGGACAAAATCTAGCTGCGATAATGATAGAAATTTTGGTGGAAACTTTGGAAATAACAGAGGAAAAGATGATGGATGGAGTAGATGAGATATATCGAGTTTTTACAAGATATGCGATGAGAAACAACCTACCAAGAGAGGTTCACATCAGATTTACAAAAAAAAGCCATTAAAACACAAATATTACAAGTGGCAAGAGAGAAGGCGTTGAAATATAAAGGCAAAGAGATTGTGGTTTTAAAACAATACCTAGAAGAGAGAGAGATGAGAAGAGAATATCGATTCCTGACCAAAATGCTATTGAAAAAGGAGGTGAATTATAGATGCTTACATGGCAAGAACAGAGACACAGAATTGATTCAATTGAGAAAGCAGAACTATTTTATGCTGAATTTTTTGGAGAGAGGCAGAAAAAGAGATCTCACCAATTGAATCCCAAGAGGACCAAATGGGGACCGAAAAAGAAGAAGGCGCAGTAGGTGGACAAGTGGAGATTAAAGAACAACGTGAACTAAGATCTATGAGAGCTGCCAAACCTAATTACAAAATATAATCATGGAAGAGAAAAAATTGATTTCAATGAATATAAATGGACTTAACTCAGCTGTTAAAAGAAGAAAAACTTTTCATAAATTAGGGAAATTAAAATTTGATATCATTTGTTTACAAGAAGCACATATTAAAAAACAATATGAACAACTGTTGGTACAGCCAAAATTAGGGAAAATATTCACTTCCTTGACTCAATGTAAGAAAAGAGGAGTGGTTTTATACATTAAAGAGACTATCCCAGCAAAATTGATTCATACTGATGAAGACGGAAGAGTATTAATGGTGGAAATAATGGACAATAATATGAAAACACTCCTGATTGCAATATATGCTCCGAATGATAAACAAGAAGAAATTTACAAAAAATTACACTTGAAAATAATTGGACTGGACTATATTAATATAGTTATGATGGGAGACTTCAATGGAATTGTAGACAATAAACTGGACTATGCAGCAACGATAACAAGGCAAAACAGAAAGACTCTCCCCAAATCTTTTTTTAAAATGATAGATGAATTAAATGTAAAAGATATATGGAGAGAAAGAAATGCTAAAACCAAACAATATACTTTTTATTCAAATAGGCATTTATCATGGCCCAGATTAGATATGATTTGGATCTCAACAGAACTAATATCTAACATTCAAGAAACAAACATTGAAACAAGTACTTGGGCAGACCACAATCGAATGACAATTAAATAGAAAGGACAAAAAAGAAGATCTAGATGGACATTAAATAATACTATTTTAAAGGAAAAAGACTTCACACAGTGGATGGAGAAAGAATTGGCTTTTTTCTTTAGAGAAAACAAAAAAGAAGATACATCAATCCAGAATGTATGGGATACAATGAAGGCATATGCCAGAGGCTTGATAATAGACTATACAAGGAAAAGGAATACTATGAAAAGGCTAGCCTCTAAGGCCCTAGAGGAAGAGCATAAAAGACTTGAAAAAGAGCTACAGAAAATGCCACAGAAAAAGGACATTAAACTAAAATTGGATATAATTAAACATAAAATGGGTCAAATAGAGAAAGAAGAATTGGCATAGAAAATTAGAAGCGCTAAACAGAACTACTTTGA